CTTACCCAGAACTTTCAAGATTAAACAATTTGGTCCATGGGTCAACTCTTTTTCAAATCAGTCCTCTATGTTCGTGAATTTAATCAAGTTAGTCCCTTAACTTCTTGTTTATGTTATTGTGCATGCATGTCTTTGATTTAGTCCATTTTAGTCCAAAAATTAAAAAATGTTTCAATTTGGTTGATCTTTTTTTTTTAAATTAAAAAAAAAGTAACTTTTTTAACATAGATAAAGGATAAGTTGAATTAAAATCTCAATTTTAAAGTATGCAATCGTGTTTAAACGGAGGATTGTGAGGTGCGTGTATGTCATTCTTCACTCCTAACTGAACCCTCGAATCTCGATCCCTACGCAGACCTGTTTTAGGTGACTTGTCCCACTTTACAATTTGGACGAGTGGCGACTCCCTCTTTTTTATATTTTTCACACTTGATTTTTCATTTATTTTGAAAAAAATCTTAATTGGTCATCAACACATACATAAATTAATACATCAATGTGAGCAACCTTTTAGTGAGTTGTAGTTTCTTACGTTACTCCCTGCATCTCCTACTATATCCAATCCATGCTCATCCAACATCACAACCTATAAACACAAGATCCCAAAACAAGAATAATTCCCAACAAGAGAACTGTATCTCCAAACCTCCATGAACCAAATCAATAATGATACTAATAAATTTAAAGGAAAACCAAAATAGGATACAGTTCATCCTTCTTCTTTTTTATTTTCTCTTGTTTATGTTGTGAATTGCATTCTGCACTTTGATATGAAAGAATTAGAACTTTGGATTTGTGCTTTTTTCCTTTGCATTCTGAATCTTGCCATTTTCTTCAAGAATGGTCCCGTTTCATTGTGTGTGGTTCTTTAACTTTGTGATTTCAATATGTGAAATTTTGATTTGGGATTATTTCTTTTTTCTTTTTTCTTTTTACTTATCTGCATTTGAAATTTCTTTGTTTGAGTATGTGAAAATTAAAAAGGTTAAGTTTGGAAATAAGAGTTTTTGTACGGTAGAAAGGAAAAGAGGAAGAAGAAGTGATAATGGTGTATTTTGTAAATTTGAAGTAAAATAAAGGGTAATTTAGGAAGTTCAAGTACAATTCATGCATGTCAGCCGGAAAGTCCTTCCACTTCAAATTAATGTTGAACGCGTTACTATCTTCAAGACACATCAACGAAATCTAATTAAGCTAATGAATACTATGACTTCATAGTTAACTTATGGTTTTTTTTTTTTAATGAGTTATGGAGAGTGTTAATTAAGAATGGAAAACTATTTTAAAATAGTGATTGTGATTTTTTTTCTCTGTTTATGAATTATGAATGAAGGATATTAGTAAAAAATTACTTTGAAATATTAACGGTAAAAATGTTTAAGATATAAATAAGAGGTTTCATTTTTTTTAAAATCTTTTCACTATAATTGGCAGCTAGATTAGTAAGTGTTTATTTACACCTCTAAACATTTTTTTTTAAAATATATATCTTCTAATACTTTCAAATTGAATGAAATTAGTCCACATATATTTCAATTGAAATATATCTTCCCTCATTTCATCTTCCTCCTTCAATACTCATTAAACTCTTACTAATTTGATAATATTGTGCTCAATTTTTTTTTTGATGACATCATATTTTCCTTTTTTGGATTGGCCGACCACCAAGAAAGAGTTAACCAATCCAATTTGGCTACCCGTAAAAAAATACAATGTCTTCGGAAAAATGGCTCAAGATTGCCAAATCAACATAGAGCTTATAGGGTACCGTACCGTAGGGGAAAGACAGAATGATGATGTATAATTATGTCATCTAATAAATTTTGACTAACAAATTTTAATCTAAATGTAAAATAACTAATTTTATATGGCTAATTTCATTCAATATAAATATATGAGAGGAGATTTATTTTTTAAAAAAGTATAAGCATTCACATCTATAATACTGTACGGGGTTAACATGGAAGAGAGTAAAATGGATGCCATGGCAGAAAAACTAAATCACACAGTGGGTTCGATACCCTTTAAGTACCTAGGAGATCCAGTGAATGCAAACCCAAGAAAAGTATCTTCATCGGTCCAGTAATTGAATGTTTGCAATGAAGACTATCCAAGGGGAGGTGTTATTCATTATCCTTTGCTGGGCGCATCGTCCATTTAAATTTTCTTCTCAAGTATTTTGATCTTCTATTTTTCCATATTTAAAGCACTAAAAAGCTAATCCTCTCTCTTTCCCTTATTCAGAGAAGATTCCTTTTTTTTCCCCCGGGGGGGGGGGGGGGGGGGTAGTGAAGAGAATCATAAAATTGTTTGGGTTAGTTGGAAGAGTATATGTAAAAGCAAGAAGGGGTGGGGGGTTGGGGCTTGGGATTGAAGACTTAGAGAGGTTCAATGTAGCTTTACTAGGAAAATGGAGATCGAGGTTCTTGAGGGAGAAAGAGCGTTTGGGGAGGAAAGTAATTAAGGTATATTGGGGTATATGAACAT